AAAAATCCACTCATATCTAAAAAAGGACAATGATACTTGATAGAAATGATTGAAAATATCACACTCTACAAAATATATATATAAAAATAATAGGACTTTACCAAAAATAATTTAGCATACTGAATTCTATCAATATAGGAAAAAACACTCCAAAAAAAGCCATCTAGTAATTCAACCTTTCTAAAGAATTAAATAAACCAATTCCTGTTGAGGGTCATTTTAAAAATAATGGCGTATAAAACAATTTAAGGCATTCAGCATGGAGCATTGAACTAAAATACATGGAACGCTACCTGTAATACAAAACCCTAATAATTTTTAAAGCCGTGATTTTACCCCAGACACGCGAGACTTTTCCCCAGACACGAGTGTGTAGTCAATCACTTATTACTCCGCGAAAGAATCTCGAAAAACTAAACGCGCGTGTCTTGGGTAAAATCTCGCGTGTGTGGCGTAAGATATGGCTTCAATTATTGGCCTGAGGTAGCGTTCCACGTATTTTAGTTCAATGGCATGGAGACAGAAAACTTTTACAAACAAGTTGAAAAGTGTAAAAAATTAAATAATACGAATTTTACGGCGCACGGTCTGTTACAATGGAAAAAGGAGAGTTATGGTTTGTTTACGCATTTTTAGTGATTTATCGGGCCACCTATAGAATCTGTTTCTTTTGAAATTTTTTAAGATTGTTGGCTGAAAGCTGGTTTTTCAACTTTGCCAACTAATCTGTGAAGCTTAAACTGTATAAACTCCAATGTCTTCGTTTTTGATGAAAAGGAAGTTTATCTGAACACTAAATACAAATTTGTGCCGAGAAAAAAATTATGATTTAGGTCAGTATTATACAAACATGAAGACAAGGAATATATAATTCAATGTAAAACTGAGTTATGAACACTGTAAGCTGTACACTCTTTTTTGGTTGAGTTCATTTAGGTTGTGCTGTGAAATAGTGCTCTTGATTATAAAAATACCAGAGTTGCACAATTTAAAATTACAAACACTTTAAATAAATATCATGCCCAAGGCTTATACAAAATCGTGAGGCTTTTTTTACTGGTTTATACAGGTTTATACATGCAGAGAAGAGATGCATACAAATATGTACAGAGATATTGTACAGAGGGTTAATTACAGAGGGTTAATGTACAAGGAAATTTATTTCTACTGAAGTGAAATGTAAACATTCTCCTGTGAAAAATATTTAACAGTTTTTGGATGAAGTTGAGCATGATGTTAAACAATGTTCAGACCGAGGTCAATTGGATATCTACTGAAGCAAAGCTGAGGGGGATAGCGCTGACTGCAGTCTGATTAAAAAATTTTTGCGGTTCGCTTTTTTGTTTTTTCATGTAAATACGCGATGAAAACTCACTGGACTGACAGTTTAACTCTTTTGGTGTAAAAATTATTTTTTCCTTTAATTATGATTATGGCGCATATCTTAAAGTGAAATCTGTGTTTTTAGAAGTTGTTTTATGAACATAAATATGACAAATCCCGTCCATGAATAAAAGATATACACGGAGTTTGAATATCAGAAGAACACAGAAGGTGACATTAACTTAAAAAAAATTTTAGTTTGAAAGCACTTAACCAGAAATGTTTTCCACATTCTGATGGACACAGTATCTTATAGATTTACACTTAAAGTTGGTAAGCACTGTTTTGATTTTAATCTTTAAGTTGACAATGAACTACAGGCAAATAAGTTAAACTGAGAACTTTTAACAAAGATTTTAAAAAAAATAGATTTGATAAATCAAATTGACCGGAATAAATGGTGTTTCTATGAACAATATTTGCATTAACAAACTAAAAAGACAAAATTGTCTAAACCTTTAAACTTAAGAAAAATATTGAGAACACAATTTAAATGTCACGTTATATAAAGACATTAAATTAAATCATACGAGATAAAACTGCATAAACAAACCACGCCTGGTGAAGACACCCGACGAAAATTCAAATTTGTTTCAATTTTTCTAAATTGATAACGTACATAGTATAAAAATAAACACCATACCATTTTGCATTAAGGTCAAAACTTGTCCCGAAGCACTTATATCATAAGCAAAATATAATCTGCCTATATATTACTTACGACTGCAAATTTTTCTGTATGGCATACTTGTGTAGCTACATTGATATTCAAAGTAAAGATATTTCTTCAAACCAGGACAAATATTTGAAGGAAAGTGATTATCATCAACAGTTACATTACATTCCCTTTCACCATCACAGTAATTTTTAAGGTCACATGTCACATCGACACGACAATTGTAATAAAAACTTGAGCCACAAATGATTCCTTTTCGCAATCTACGATATTCTGCAACTTTTATCACCATATATTGATTATTAGAACAACTAACGTCCGATATATTTTGTCCATCACATGTTACTGAGCCTATAGAAGACACACAAAAAATAAGTAAATACAAATTTATACAAGCTTATCTTTAAATTCCTGTAAAATAAAAGTTGATTTGATAAAAATGAAGTGTGTGATGGCAGTGACTTCACTGGCGCCATTCCTATATCTGTGGCCTTGCAGTGGCTTTTAATTAGAGTTTAAGTATATCTACGCTAACTGGATGAATATTCTCACTTGCCGAAATTGAATCGCTGATTTTCTTCATTTTTACAATTAGCCAGTCTCACGTATTTAGACACACTTAGTCGTATACATTTATTATAGCGTGAAAAGAATAGACCACCCCAAAATGTTTGGGTTATGGCATTGATGGCTCCGCATTCTCCATTAAAATTTCCATCAGATAACCACAAAAGATTTCCGTTGCCTCGTCTCACAAGACAAGTTGCTCTATTCAGATTCAAGATTGAGCCAGATGGTAAAAATTTAAAACTATTTGTCACTTGAAAAAGATTCCTTGTAAACTGTAATGGAGCGATTCCACGGAAGCTTGCTGGAGCATCATCAACACACTTTCCTGACTGAACATGTTTGATAAAAAATCCACTCATATCTAAAAAAGGACAATGATACTTGATAGAAATGATTGATAATATCACACTCTACAAAATATATATATAAAAATAATAGGACTTTACCAAAAATAATTTAGCATACTGAATTCTATCAATATAGGAAAAAACATTCCAAAAAAAGCCATCTTGTAATTCAACCTTTCTAAAGAATTAAATAAACCAATTCCTGTTGAGGGTCATTTTAAAAATAATGGCGTATAAAATAATTTAAGGCATTCAGCATGGAGCATTGAACTAAAATACATGGAACGCTACCTGTAATACAAAACCCTAATAATTTTTAAAGCCGTGATTGTACCCCAGACACGCGAGACTTCTCCCCAGACACGAGTGTGTAGTCAATCACTTATTACTCCGCGAAAGAATCTCGAAACACTAAACGCGCGTGTCTTGGGTAAAATCTCGCGTGTGTGGCGTAAGATATGACTTCAATAATTGGCCTGAGGTAGTGTTCCACGTATTTTAGTTCAATGGCATGGAGACAGAAAACTTTTACAAACAAGTTGAAAAGTGTAAAAAATTAAATAATACGAATTTTACGGCGCACGGTCTGTTACAATGGAAAAAGGAGAGTTATGGTTTGTTTACGCATTTTAGTGATTTATCGGGCCACCTATAGAATCTGTTTCTTTTGAAATTTTTTAAGATTGTTGGCTGAAAGCTGGTTTTTCAACTTTGCCAACTAATCTGTGAGCTTAAACTGTATAAACTCCAATGTCTTCGTTTTTGATGAAAAGGAAGTTTATCTGAACACTAAATACAAATTTGTGCCGAGAAAAAAATGACAATTTAGGTCAGTATCATACAAACATGAAGACAAGGAATATATAATTCAATGTAAAACTGAGTTATGAACACTGTACGCTGTACACTCTTTTTTGGTTGAGTTCATTTAGGTTGTGCTGTGAAATAGTGCTCTTGATTATAAAAATACCAGAGTTGCACAATTTAAAATTATAAACACTTTAAATAAATATCATGCCCAAGGCTTATACAAAATCGTGAGGCTTTTTTTACTGGTTTATACAGGTTTATACATGCAGAGAAGAGATGCATACAAATATGTACAGAGATATTGTACAGAGGGTTAATTACAGAGGGTTAATGTACAAGGAAATTTATTTCTACTGAAGTGAAATGTAAACATTCTCCTGTGAAAAATATTTAACAGTTTTTGGATGAAGTTGAGCATGATGTTAAACAATGTTCAGACCGAGGTCAATTGGATATCTACTGAAGCAAAGCTGAGGGGGATAGCGCTGACTGCAGTCTGATTAAAAAATTTTTGCGGTTCGCTTTTTTGTTTTTTCATGTAAATACGCGATGAAAACTCACTGGACTGACAGTTTAACTCTTTTGATGTTTTTTTTCGTCTTTATTTTCGATAGTTTGAGTAGAGTAAATCACTTGAAAATCTCGAAGAAGATTCTACCAAAATACTCTTTGTATTTACAGTTGTCTCATAAAGAAAATTACGTCACCTACAGATAATTTTCAATGTTTTAAAGGTGATAATATATTGACAAGTATCTAAAGGCTCTTAGCCAATGACAATCGAGATTTCATCACCGTTGTATTATAATAATAAATCTTAACAAGCATAGATCAATATATGAACACCTTAACCCTAACCCTCACACCCTTTAGCAAACAACCAAAATCTTCCAACGTGATCGTTACTGAATAAAATCAATAAGCAAAAAAATAACCAAGACACACTCTTGAATTGAGCTTTTGCACTTTAACAGGTTTGCATTCTAATAAATGCATGACGAATTAAACATGTTCGGCTTTTCCGGGCGTGTATTCTATTAGTTTTGCAATTGCAAAGAAATTTCACATAAGAGTTTATGTACATTATGGAATAAATATAGGTCAAAGTGTCGTATGGATTTGACCAAAGTTGAATATGAAACATTATAACCACATTGGTGCACTATAAATTAAACTGACACAGGAGAAACTAAAATAAACTGCCTTGTGTGTACCTTGACCACGTCTTTCGTTCACGTTGATGACAACATAACAGGTGTGATTTTTTCCACCGTATAAAACATACTTATAAGGGATTTTGTGTTGTCCGATTCCAAAGAGAGAAAAAGGTATTTTATACCGTTTTTCTATTGTTTCATTTATGTACTTATGTGAACACGTGAAGTTTTCTGGTTCTTTCCATTCTGCCGATGCATTAATAAACTTACTGATGGAGAATATCCCAGCAGTAACGTTCAAAATAATCGGGTTGCATCCACATGTCCCTAAAAAATTAAGTTATCTTTAACTGGTTGTCCAGAGAAAAAGAACAAGCAGAAAGTGACATTCATTTGTCCACAAAATGTTACAAACTATTCACATTGAATCGAAAGTCTTTGTTAAACCCAAATAGACAATAACTATACAGACTATATAATATAACTGAGTAAATTACTATTTTTGACTCTACTGTCACACTTAACTTTGCTTTTGTAACTAGACAGATTAATAATGAACGAGAGATTATGCTGCGTCATTGCTCTGAAGCTAGTGTATCCAAATCAGTTGAGTACTTTAACATGTACCTTCCGGGTTTAAACCATTTACTTTGTGTACCTTACTTTAATGCGCTTTCTAAGAACACGGCTTCAATTAGCGTTATTTAAATTAAACAGTAATATAAGTGTTGTGATTGTTTGCCAAGTACATGGCCATTTGATGTTCTGTACTTACTGTAAACTGAACTGTTGTTTACTTTACCTTCGAGTGGACATATTTCACTAAACATTTTAAATCGCTCTAAAAGATATTTCTTCTCCTCAACACAACAACGTGTACGAGTATTGTTGCATTTCGAATCGATTTCAATTTTGTCCGCCACAAATTTCTTCCATTCTTCCTCACAAAACTCAAGTTCTTCATTCCAACCCATTTTCATTGTGAATCCATGACCAAATAACAGCCACAATAACCACCATATCATTAAATTCATCATCGCAAAAATCGAAGGATATAGAGTAAAGTTCTAAATTATAATTGATTGTTGGATGTATGTACGTTATCACAGAAGACTTTAAATTTATATTTAGACCGACAACAACTACGTCACAATTACATCTGTGATGCAAGCAGATCACGATCAAAACGTATTTTTGAGCAATATATGAAGATTATCTAAAAAATTCATTTCAGCAAAATTGTGCAGCGAGAGAAACTGTTCAAAAATAGATCGAGTTAGTCTCATATGGCTGCATGATGGTTCTCTCAATGATAGCCATGGTAGCTATTATATATGTACGTGGTTATAATTTTTTTAAATGGTAAAACTTGCTTATCTTTCAATTTATGCTTTATTCTTCTTACTCGGTTCAGTCTAAATTTCAACTTCTTGTGTTTCAAGAGATTTATTGAACGATGAAAAAAGCTTTTTAGTGGATAGCGCTAAGGAAACGAAGAAAGCGAGATCAAATTAAAATTAAAGCAGATCATTTATTTTAGATACAATAGATTAAGAACACCGGACGATGTTAAAATTCTTTCTCTGAATATGAAAATAACAATTGTCCATGCAGAGCTTCCCATTAGTAATTTCATTTCAATTTCCCGTTACGTCATGATACATGTAAGAAACCTATGAAATCATAAAGTACTTTACAATTTCTTGTAACGCAGCCTCTATAGCTGTATAGCTATACCCATATTGCCTCTATAGCTATACCCGTATTGCATTTTCATTCGAATTTTATAATTCATCGAATTAAACACATTAGGAGCTATAAAACAGCTAAATTACTCAGTTGACGAATTCATAAAGTTACAGTTGAAAAATTGACTAAATATATTAAAAATTTCAAAAAATAATGACCAAAAATATGTTGAAACTAGTGTTAGATATGTACATTACATGCACAGCGGAGCTTTATTTCTATTGGGAAGGAAGTGCTCGCGATATAAATGAGCGTCGATATTAAGGGCAGCTAAGTAGTTTTGGGTTTCAGCGTTATCTTGAGATTGCTCAAATTCTTTTATAAAAACTTACAGAAATATCACAGAAAATCGTGGAAATATTTTGCAACTTTTTACATTTTTTCAAGCTTGTCGTTATTCCTTTGTTTGCAGTTATTCGTGGAGTACTAACTGACAATGAATACTCCATAAGAATCGAAAATCTCAAGCGGATTTCTTTTCTATTTTTTGCAAGTGCCGCTGAAGAACAAAATTATTTACAGAACAGTGAAATAGGGTTTGTTTTTGATTTAGTTGAGAGATTTGAGCAAAAATATAATAATATATATGACTCAAAATATGAATGTAATAACCTGTAACGAATTCTACATCAAGCATGGAGGTATTGTGGTAAATGAAACTCAGAGGAAGAAAAAATTTGCAGTATTAAATGTTAACATGGCATCGACGATAAAGAAAGTTCCATTTTACTATCTTACCTTTATTCTTTTATTAATTGAAAAACGGACACAATAAGGCGACTGCAGAAATACACCTTACACAAGCATAGAAAAATTAAGATACGTTCAAGTCAGACGAACAAAAGAGTTGTGGCTTTCGCAAGCTTTTACTTGCAACTGCTGGCCAAGACTGTCGGCTTCCTTAAATGTACAGTGCCATATTGAGTATATACAAACACTCATGCCATCTGCCCTAGTTATTCAACATTTTATAGAATTTTTTGCGTCAAATCTTATCCTTTACGAATTTACTATAATATTTTTATTGTTTATAAATTTGGATGCTGTTGTTGGTTGACAAAGCAATGTTATAGAAGATAGAGTTTTTGATATTTTAGAGAATTACCTTTGTTTATTGCTACGAAGCAACGAAGCACAAATAATGCATCTAGTGTGGGCAAACACGGCAAAACAGGTTAATGACTTCAAGTGCTTGATGACGAAAAATTATATTGTTACAATATAAAACGTATTTTAAGTTTTTGACTATCAACTTTACCAACTGTAAATTCAATTTTGCTAACAGTCATTAGCAAAATTTAGGCCCTAAATACAACAAATTGTGTCGGACCGAACTATACAGTAAAATTTACTACGTAATACCAGCTGTACCTTTATTGCCTACTGGTGTTTGTTTAAACGATGGACACAGTACGACAGCGGCGCAAATACAGTGAGAAATGAGAAGAAAAACAATGCTTCAAGGAATAATGACTTCTTTATTAAATAATGTTCAAGCGATTGGGTTAAGCATAAAGAATCAAAAACAACATCATTTCGATATAAATTTTAACTTGGTATATTACAAACTTTTAGTTTATGCGTTGGACGGCCGCTTTGTGGGATATTATATCAAACTAAATTAAAACTAGATATGATGATTTTAATTTAGGCAATTTTTTCAATTTTTTTCGTAATATAGCTTTGTTAATTAGTTCTTAAGTGTTGTCCTTAAGTCTGCGTTCTGATGTGAAGAGGTGCACCGAAAACATGTAGAAACAGATAAATTTCGAAGTATCACATTAAAATTAGCTGTATTATAAGGCCTTTACTAATTGGGAAGTCTTTAAAGAGAAATATCGGATCATTTAATTCTTTATGAGCAGATCGCAGGCTCGAAGAGCGAATAAACGAATTAGGTAATATAATAAAAGGTTTATTATAAAGGATTATTTTAACTGAAACGAAGCTTTCTTTACTTTTTTGTCCTCGCTGTTTTGTAAAAGTTGGCATTCATACCTGTTTTATTTTTGTTTTCAAAATTTTTGCTATTTGCTTTACGAAATTTATTTACATTTGTAAAATTACCTGTAATGGCCGCCGACATGAATTGTTATTAATCAGAGACTATATATGGTCATTGTCAACATTAAGTCATTAACAGCATATGTAATAACATGTTTGCTTCGAGATCTTTTGTTATCACATAGACGTTTACTGACGTATTTCCTCATCATAATATTCATTAGGGACGTTTAGGGGCTGATTACATGGACCGAGTTGTCCCGGTTAGCCGAGGTGAGACAATTTTACCGATACCGCGGCCTCTTTTATAATTACTATTAAAAACAGCATTGTGATTACATGGGAAACGAGTCAACTCGCTTTGCTGGGATATCGGTCGTTGAAAGCCGGGACAACTCGGTTATCCGGATGAAAATTGTCTCGTTCGCTCATGTAATCACTTTTTCCCGAGTTGCCCCGGGTAAGCGAGTTGAAAGCTATTGTGTGAAGCATGCGCACTTAGTTTAAATTTGCAAAATGGCGGAAAGCTCTATAAACGATAATGCAAACAAAAGTAAAAAATCTAAAAGATCTGCCACGATCGACATAGATAATCGCTTTCAGTGGACTTTAGAAATGGTCAAGGATTTACTGGAAGGGTTGCTCGAGTACAAATCTCAAATGGAGTATAGAAACTCAGATTTCAATGCGGACAAAGTTAAACAATATGAATCAGTTAGAATTATTTTGGCCAACAAATATCGTGACGGTTCATTGTTTGGGCCGACAGAGATTCCTGCATATACTGAAGAAGACAATAAGGAGGATTATACAAGGTCATGTGAAAAATTCAAAGCCCAAATTCGACGAGGATATACTCGAGTTCAAGAAAAAATAAAACATCTGCGACAGAAATTTAGTAATGCTGTTACCTCAGGTACAAGATCAGGCTCAGGAAAAATGGTTATGGAGTTTTATGATGTTATGGTCAAAATATGGGGAGGATCACCTGCAACAGAACCATTGCAATTTGGTGTGCAATCAGCAGAAAAAGAAGATGAGGAAGGCTGGGAAATTAATGACTTTAATACAACTTTGTCTGATGTAATAGAAGAATCTTCTCGCATATCTGATAGTTCTCATCATGAGTCCATAGCAGAATGCGAGAATACTTTTAGTGAGAAAGAAAAGCATGAAGCAATGAGAGGCAAGCGGAAAATGAATGTGGTACCCACATTGATTGATAACAAACGTAGGCACATGGAACGTCAGTTATCAGCTTCCCAACGCGACAAAATCTTGATGCAAGAATCAAAAGATGAACAACAATTTCGTAAAGAGATATCAAATTCCCTGAAAGAATCCAATTTATTATTTGCAGAGTCTTTGAAGGCAATTAGTGCTTCAATGACTGCTATTGCTTCTTCAATTCAAAAATCATGTGAATCGTCACAGCACATCAGGCCACCATACCCATCAGATCGAATGCAGTCCACAAATCTTATGCCGCAGTTTCACCAAGGTATTAATACCTCTAATTACATATTTCCACCTGATATGTCTGGCCAGTCTTTCTATATTCCCCATGTAGAAAGCAATGGAGAACCCTTGCAACCACATCAACATCAATATTGACTTTTAACATTTTATTGGTTAAAAACATCATACTTGTTTTATTTTTTATGTTGAATTCTTACTGAGTAATTCTTTATGTTACATTGTTTTTGTTAGAGTGGAACAAATGTTCTTTGTTTATAAAATAAACATGTAATTGAAGAAAAAAACTGTTGCTTTGAGAATATTAAAAAGACTAGTAAAGCAAATGTGCATTAACATATTGTTTTAGTGTGTCTCTGACTAGTTCTCCTTCCCTGGTGGTACTTGAGTACACTGGATCTGGGCTGTTTTTGTGGGCTATTTCTTCATCTCTGTTCCTAGCTATTTGATTTTGGACAATCTCCTCATCCATGTCTCTATTATGCATCTCACAAAAATTATGGAGAACAAAACAAGCTAAAATAACTTTTGGTACTGCATCCAGTTTAAGGTTCATTTTTCTTGTCAAAATTGACCATCTAGCCTTTAGGCGCCAAATGCACATTCTACTGGGTTTCTTGGCTCTTAGCATGTTGTTAAAAACTACCTCATCATCGCTTAAGCATGATTGGTATTCTTTAATGCAGTTGGGTGTTAAAGGATATGCCGGGTCACCTATGAGGTAGTTAGGTATCTTGTCATGACCAGGTAAAACATGAGTGAAGGTTTGTGGTAATCTTCCCAATTTTAGTTCATTATTTATGAATGAGTTTGAAAATACTTTTGCATCATGGACGCTGCCAGGCCACCTGCAGTCAACATCCATGAATAAGCCATTTGAATCACAAACAGCTTGAACATTAATGGAGAAAAACTGTTTATAATTGAAGTAATCTTGAGAATCAACCAACGGTCTTTAAATGGGAATGTGAGTACCATCAATGCAGCCAAATGCCTGAGTCATGCCAAACCTTGTTTCAAACTCAGCAACTTTTTTCCTCATTTCCGCTACCGTTTGTGGAAGGTGCAGATATATTGGACAAAGATGTATACAAATTGCATTGCAAACAGCTAAAACGATTTTAGAAACTGTACATTGATGAACACCAAAGGCATTCGCCGTCATCCAAATAGAACCAGTGTCTTTTAGGTAATATAAAGTGATAGCGAGTTTTTTTTCACGAGAGAGTGACCTATAATTTGGAGTGTTT